CTGTCAGTTATCAGTACCATAGGTTTAACCGTGCGCGCAGTAATGCGCGTCAGCCAGACTGGTAAACTCATATGATGTCGCGTCTTACATTGCATAGCCAAGGTTCCAGACTAAGCACCACTAAAAGCCACATCCGAGACGTGACCTCGGGCTCGAACTGAACCTGGGCCATGGTCTTAGAAGTAAATACCTGGTATGAGAATAGTTGTGGTTTTGTGAATTTTATTATATTTAGGAAGGCATCTCGAAGCGAGGACGACAAGGATAGACGAGATACTCAAAAAGATCGGTACTAATTGTTTTTCATTGTCTCTAAAGCAGTATGATGACCTACCGTAAAGTTGTTGATTTTCAGAGGTTCTAAAGGAAGCGGGGTGAGTAGTAAATCACGCGAGGTGAAAAAGGAGCCTGAAGATGAGGATAGGTCAAAACAGCGTGATTCGTCAGCGAAGAGCTATGGACTTGAGAAAAGTTTGTGCTAAATTGTCCTTCGTCTACCCTTGTTGAACTTCTATTTCGTTGTAGGGCCTAAAAGAGAAGCAGACGAGGACAACGGTCCAGAAGGAGAATCGACACAGAAATCAAAGTGAGTAACTTACAAGCAGATTATGTCTGGATGGAGGCAGGAAAAATTGCATGGTTCAAGGGACCGTTGGGGAACATCGGAAGGATGGGGATCAGACAAAAAGACTGCACCACCAGCAAAGGAGAAAGAAAAGGTGAGGCTCAGTTCTTTCATGTGAAAGCGCGTGTTTGTTTTGTGTGGTTATATGAACCTGTAATGTTTTAGGTGAACCTTGGAGTTAGTGGAAAGCTGGCTGAAGACACCAATATGTATCGCGGTGTGCTCATAAAATACAATGAACCGCCAGAGGCTAAGAAACCAACTCTGAGGTGAAATTTCACCTGTATTATTTCCTGAGTGCTCAAAATTCGTCAGTCCATCAAGATGATTGAAACTAGGTTCATACTTCCTTGAATTTTATCAGACCTGACCTCATTTAGATGGCGTTTGTATCCGTTCAAAGGTGAGGAGGCATTACCTGTCCTCCATATCCATAGGCAGTCAGCGTACTTGATTGGAAGAGACCGAAAGATTGCTGATTTGCCCATTGATCATCCAAGTTGCAGCAAGCAACACGCCGTTCTTCAGTACAGGTTTGTAATTACTGCTTTTGTGCGACCGATTGATTTACTTTTACTGGTTTTGCTAAATTTGTGGCAAACCCCTCCTTACCTCATAATCGGGTTCGCGAATAACGCTTCTGACATCGTAATGTTGACAGATTTATTTGCTGAGGTCCAGAGTTTCCAAAGTGCGGCATTGCGCGCATTTAGCTAGCATTACTAGTGAACGGGCTCGACACAGCACTTCGGTGCTAGATCGATTGCGTCATGGCAGGCGATATTCACAGTACTTGTTCCCGGTCCTACCTCAGAAATTAGTGAATTGCTCTTTTTTTCAAGTTATGAGGCATACTGAATGGTTGAATGTCATTTTTTGATGAAAACTCCTGAAAGGTGCGGTCAACTAAGTAGGGTATTTTGCATGTTCGCTAGTTTCTGATGCTACTTCCTCTCGAATCACGCGTTAGCCATTAACAGGTTTCTACAGGAGACATCGGCAGTGATCTATGGAAGCCTGCAAAATGCCCCCACCATGCCGAACAGCATCCCCGTTGAGAAACGAACTTGATGCAAATAGAATGTACGTCACTACGAGCGCGCTTTGTTGGCCTTCACATGTTCTGAGCTACTTCTGATAACCACCATATCATATAGCGTTCATTACACATACATCGACCATGTTCTGAGCTTTTCCCAATCCCCGAATATTTAGAGCAGCATTCAGATAGGCGATGACGCGCTTAACACGCGATGAAAATCGATCGGCACCGGCCGCTTGTGTTCCGAAAGTATGGGGGAATAGGCTGGTATGTGTTGCCCAGCACGCAGACTGGTATCGATCGGCACTGGTCGCCGTAGCTTCGGGGTTGCGATTGCAGAGCGCGTTGACGCGCATGGTCGCGAAGTCTAAACACTGCCTAATCCTCAGAAACCCTCCCATCTTTGCTTTGATGCGTTGAGACTGGATACGCGTCGTTATTATGCCGTAACTGACGACCTCTTGTCATTGTTCGGATTTCACATGTATCGCAGTAATTGTTTCTTCAGATCGGTACCTTTCGAACGTAGCGACGGTACGAAAGGACGGCGTGTGTTGCCTTACATAATCGATTTGGGCAGCTCAAATGGCACACTTCTCAATGGAACGAAGATTGAACCTCAGCGGTATGTCCGTTTTACTGGCACTCATAAACCGGGTTTACATTGTACGACGATTCTACTGATGATGGAAGAAGGGACTGTTTGGCATACGATTCCTGCTTGTGCAAATGTGACACACGTTTCTTTACATCCCTTTTTCAGCTATGTGGAATTGAAGGAGAAAGACGTGCTCAAGTTTGGGTTCTCCAGTCGAGAATTTGTTGTGTTAAATGAGAAATCGGCTGGAGACGAGGACGTATCGGACGCAGAACGTGCTGCATCTCCAGGCTCTGGCTAGGCTTTAGAATATGGGAACAGTTCGGACGTGAAGGGAAAGTAGGCAAAAATCAATTCAAGATATAGTCACCATATGTTGTTCACTGATCGTCATTCTGTCTTGGTCCATTCAGGATTTCCATCCGGAAATGCTTTGAATTTCTTTGTGGAATAGTATCCTTCTTCGGTTCAAGTTGTGTACAAGTAATATCCCGTCGTGACTGCACTACATGCTCCCAGATGACCTTCATATTGTAGTAGGTAAAGGTATGGCTGCTTAGTTAGGTGTGTTATGCTGCGTTCAGACTTCGTGACGACACGCGTCGACCCGCTACCTGCGGTCGCTCTCCAGGCCTTTTGATAGGATTGGAGTATCACAAAGTCTGAAAACAGCAGTAAAGAAAATTCGGGGTGTCAGCGGCGTTCTTGGAAGAGGTGCTGAAGGCATCTAAGCCGAATAAGCCCTCCGTCCATACCCCAAATTCATGATGGCGTTGAATGGAAGTCGTTGAAAGTTCCGGCTGCAAAGGAAGGGTATTTAGTTGTGAAAGGGTTTCGTAGGCACACTCTGCACTTGAACTGCAGACGCGATTATTGGCCACCACTATAATTGAAGGTCATGATGTGTTGGTGTTTATTTTTGTTGTCATCAAAATCTCTGTCATATGAGCCTCATTTCAGACTCAGTTGAATTTTGTTCAAGTAACAGTAAGCAGTTGTATTGTTCTTGCCCGCTGTTTTCGTCTCTTAACTATTATATAATAAATTAAAGTTTGCACAACCATGTGGATCTTCAAAGCGACTATCGAAAAAATTGTGGTCCTCTATTTTGTTGTGCCGCCTTAAGCGCAAACTGTACACTCGTCTTCGTGAATGGCGGTACTTGCCGCGATGTTGGGTGAGGGATCCGCACCTGCAATAGTGCCACTTTCGCGGCCAGAAGTGCGTAGTTAGGGAGGACAGTGATGCCGAGTGCCGTTTGGGGCTCCGACTTCTAGCCATACGCTCAACCATAGCCAAGTGCGCTACTTCGTCTGCGCCCTCTCACTTCTATTACCTCTCCTAAATACGTGCTTCTCTGTGAGGCGCTTAATATCGACACCAGTGCTGCACCTCGAGGATAGTGCGAGTGGAGTTTAGGGGGGGGGGGCTAACTCGGATACAGCTTTCCTCCAGCTGTGCATTTTAAGCGGAGAAAAAGAAAAGGTGACAATAGAGGCTAATGCCGTTTGGACTCCAGAAATTTCGGCTCCGAGCTCATTTAAAAGTGGCAAGATCACCAAATCCGCTAAAAACTTGTATATAGGGGTAATTCAACATCCTGATCACGAATATGACATTCATTTTTGGCGCTGGCGCTAATGGATGACATTACCTGCGCTCTGCTAAGGCTGAGCCCAGGAGGTAATCGTAGTGTCCTCTCTTGGCGCCAGCGCCAAGAATGAGTGTCATACTCGTAATCAGGATGTTGAATTACCCCTATATACAAGTTTTTAGTGGATTTGGTGGCTTAGGCAATTTGAAAATGAGCTCGGAGCCGAAATTTCTGGAGTCCAAACGGCATTAGCCGACAATAGATGCGTAGTCTGCACTCGCACAACTCGTACACAACTCGCACGTGCAAGGACTTCCCTCGCAGGTGAGTTTACGGCTTGTCTCTGAGGATCAGTCCCTATTTTTATCGAAGATCAAGTTACAGAAAAGCAGAGCTTATACAAATACTATAAATCAAAGTAAAACAACTACTAGGGTCCCACACTATTGTTTGCACTGGGATTGTTGCTCAGCAGACAATTGTTCTTGGTTCAGTGGAACTTTTGACAAATTTACAGAATCTCTCGGAAGAAGTCAACTTCATCGATCATGAGGAAAGAGACGTTGTTTATAGTCACTATGTTAGAAATTCTAGAAAAGCGCCCTGCACATTAAACGACAACAAGCCAAGCGAACCTAATGACTAACAACTGAAACAGTAAAGTCGCGACTAGACGCTGCAAATGTGGATGGTAAACCGTACAGAAACAACAGAAACGACTGACCAGGAAAGGTCAACAGGTCAGCCTGGCCATTTGCAATGAGATGCACATCACTGTACTCATCTTGACACGGTGAACTCAGAACTGTCTTCAAAATTTGCAGAACGATTCTCTGAGCGGAGTTATGGAGGTTTTTCTTTACTGTTTTTCTTCTTACGGGCGCGCTGGCGCCGAAGCGTTGGCACATGTAGCGCGACTCACAGCGCTCTTCGCGCAAACAGGTATCATATTCGTGTTCAGGGGGTCAAATAACCCCTAGGGACGTCACCTTAGCGAAATCTGAGCTTCTGACTCAACTTCGTAAAAATGGGGTATGGA